GGTTGGGGAAATTGGGCCAGGGATTTTGGGGTGTTTGGCCCACTAATGTGGTCCGAAAATTGGCATAACTTGGGCTATATTTTAAATACAAGGAATTAAGGGAAAATAATTTTAATAAAATAGTTAAATAAAATATAAAAAATGCTATATATGAAACACAACACTTTGAAAGAATAATTGCGAAAATTATTTTGACCTTAAATAAATGACAAATGCAATTAATTATAAAATTTAGGCTATTATTGCAAAATTGCGTAATTAGCATAAAAATGCAAATGTAATTATAAAATAAAGTAAAATATTATGAAACATATATGTGGATTCAAAATAATAATTTTGGATGATTAATCATCGCAAAATAATTTTAAAGGGTAATTGATAAATAATCAAGTAACTAAAATGCAAATAAATTTTAAAGCTCTAGAAATTGTGAAAAATTATAGAAAATACTTGTATAATTTTTGTAAAATTAAGCAATGATGCAAAAATTTCCTTTTGAAAGTATATATACTTATTTAAAAAATATGAGGGAATAATTGGATATCAACATAAAATGCGTGTCTCGATCCGAGATAACAGACACGGGCACACCATGAAGGCGAACAATCTCCCAAATGTAAATCCGAGCCAGCTGCTCTGAAGAGTAGGTAGTCATGAGTGGAATGAAGTGTTTAGACTTATTGAGTTTGTCCACAATGACCCATACAACATCGAATTTCCTCAAGGTCCGTGGAAGCCCAACTACAAAATCCATAAAGATACGCTCAAACATTCACTCCGGAATATCTAGCCTCTAAAGCATACCACCCGGTCTCTGATTCTCGTACTTCACCTGCTGACAGTTCAAACACCAAGTGTCATATTCAACAATATCCTTCTTCATCCTCTGACATCAATAGTGCTGCCTCAAATCATGGTACATCTTCAGGGCCCCTGGATGAATGGAATACCGCAAACTATAGGCCTTTTCAAGAATCAACTCTCCCTTAAAGTTCAGAGCACGATCCTCAATTGTTGCTCATGATCCTCCCAGCTACAACAATACAACGGTATATTATCAACGAAAAATATGACGAAGGAATCAAGATATGGCTGAAATACTCTATTCGTCAACTGAATAAAAGTTGTTGGGGCATTGGTCAGCCAAAAATACATCACCAGAAACTCATAGTGAGCATAGCGGGTCCCGGAAGCCGTCCTCGAAATATCTGAAGCTCGGATCTTCAACTGATGGTACCTCGATCTCAAATCAATCTTCGAGTGTCACACCCCGACCTTGGGAACTGCGACCGACACAGAATGCCTAGAGGCCCGTGCGAACCGATGCATGGTCTTCCATCTTTTTATTCATAAGAAAACAGGGTTGCGAGGCCTTCAAGTAATGACTACAAAAAACTCAAAATGAGTACAATTGATTAACAAAGGAAATATTAGAATTTTATACATGATCATCACTTTCATTAACATGGTCATGCCAGACCTTTTTATGGAACCAAACACTAGTCTGCAAGCCTATAAGAGTGCCAAAAGAAATATATATATTACACAACTTGGTTGGGACAGGGTCCAACAGTACCCAAAACATTTATGACATCTGCTTTAGTACCTATTGACCTCTACACAGCTACTTAAGAAGTGCAAAGAAGCAAAGACCACCTGAATCGTGCACCTACTGGGGATGGGAGTCACCAGGTCTATTTGTATCTGTGGGCATGAACACAGTGCCCAAAAAGGAAAGGGCGTCTGTACGCATATTGTACTGAGTATGTAAGACCAAGAAGCACAAGTATATCAGAGTCATATCATAAGAAATGTGAGTACGTGATTCTAAACTTAATACCAAAGACAAGCCACCGGGGGCGTAAACCAAATTAGGGACCATGGGTCGTAAATGCATGCAAACTTTTGTAAAACCACATCTCTCATTGTGTCCCTACATTATTTGAATATATCTTCATCCACACTTCTGGGCAAATTTTCATCACTCCGTACCCGACCTCAGAGAAGACTCAGTCGTATCTGGCCTCAGGAGGTCTTGGCTGTATCGGTCTCACAGTACTCGGCGTAGCTGGCCTCAGGAGGACTCGGTAGCCTCATATCACACATCATTGTTGCCGGGCCATACATGGGCTCAGTAATATCTCACATCATGCCTCAACATACCCAACTGATTAGTGATTGCCCCATAGGTGTCATACCCAGCCGACTATATATATATATATATATATATATATATATATATATATATATATATCAGTTTCAAGATACAACATGTTTAGACTTCAGAATGAATCATACCCTTGGACCACATTATATTAACTAGAACAATGTGGACTTTAAAGAGCTTGCTACCGGCAAAAAAGCACAAGAAGAAGATAACATCATTGAGAGGATTTAGAACTACTAAACCTTACAGTACATGAGTCATTCAAAAAGAAGGAGAGACTTTTACTAACTCATGCCTAGAAAGAAGATTCCCTACATACCTTGTTGGAGATGACTAAGTAGTCACTCTTGCCAAATGGCTAATTATGAGCATGACTAAGACATGACTATGTCTTAGCAAATATGACTTGGGATTAATTTTAGAAACTTAGTAAGCAATTCCATAGAAAGACACATTCTGTCTTTGGCTTTAACATTAGAAGCAGAAACCCATTTCCTTCCAAACCAAAGCTGATTCGTTCCAAAAGATTTCAAGGAATTCAAATGTTATTCTTTCAAACTTAAGAAGAACCAGAAACGTTTTCCTCCAAAATCAAATGAATTCAATGTTATTCTTTCAAACTTGAGAAGAACCATAAATGTTTTCCTCCAAAATCAAATGAATTCAATGTTATTCGTTTCAAAATTTTTAGGAACCAGAAAATATTTTCGTCCATGAATTTCTATGGAACAAAGGCAAATTTCGTTCAATCAACGAAGGTTTTCCAACAAAATATTATACGAAGTTTTCCCTACTCCAGGTATGTTAAGGCTAAGCCCTTTTCATTTTGCATGATCTTGTCATTACAGGATTTTGTTAATGAGCCATAAAGAAAAATTCATATACCGAAATTTACGTATATTTTGCTAGTCTCGCAAGATACAATATTATCTTTATCGGGACTTCATATTCAATTGAGTATTTCCTTCTTCCAGTCAAGAGAGCAGAGAGTTTATATATATGGTATTAAAGTATTTTCATTACCATCGAGCTATAATCAATGGGCAGGCCCCTATTGGACAACCTCAGATCAGATGGTAAATTATATACCGAGCCTACTGTGGCCGAGCGCATATGAGCGAGCCCAGCTGGTCGAGATACAGAGCCTAGTATGGCCGAGCGCCTATGAGCGAGCCTTCTGCGGCAGATCAGTTATATATATACCGAGCCTTATAGGGCTGGATAACTATTTTACTTACTATATTGAGAGAGTTGAGTCAATATCAGCAGGTAAGCATATCTTCAGATCATCTTTGACTTCCAATTACTTTCAGTTATTATATTATCAGTTCAAGTTCAGCTTTCAGTATATTGCCTTACATACTCGGTACATTATTTCGTACTGACGTCCCTTTTCTGGGGGCAATGCATTTCATGCGTGCAGGTTCAGACAGACAGACGGGTATACCTCCTCATTAGGTGTTGCCCGAGTTCAGCTTAATCGGTAAGCTCCATACCCTTCGGAGTTGCCGGGTCTAGAGCTTTATGTATATCTTGTATATATATGTATATATATGTTATGAGTAGACTGTGGCCCTGTTCCGATCATAGTATATCCATCAGTAGAGTCTTGTACACATATCCTATCAGTTAGTGCAGTGTGTTGGGCTTGTAGACCTTTTATGTATATTTTGTTGATTTTCCAGCTGTAGTAGTTATGACGGCCTTGTCGGCCCAGCATCATATTCATGTTTAGTCAGTATTTGCAATTGTCTGGCAATGTGCCCATGGCCAAAGTTTGACATTATTTGTTCCGAGTCCCTTAGTGGCAAGTTGGTACGCAACGATAGATGAGGCACCGAGCACCGGGTGCAATTGCAAACTCTGTCGTAGAATCGCTTTTCATCAAGCCTCCTAGGGTTCGAATTGCGATGACTTTGCGGACCGCAAACCAATTATGCGGGCCACAAAAATCGTGTTCTTCAGTTAAAAATGCTCACCTCACTCTCACTCCCGCATAGAGTTCCTAACACTCAATTTTTGAGAAATTTCCCACAAATTACCCACCCAGATCCCCACATCAAAGGTTTGAGAAGAAAGGGAAAAAGGGGTCTCGAGTACATGAGATTATTCTCATAATTACGACAAAGAGGGAGGAAAATGACGTACCAGAGGTCTGAGCAATGTAAGAATCGGTTCTGAGATGTGAACGAGGTGAGTTCTCCATGCAATTCCGATCCTCTTTGTGTGATTGTGTGTTTTTTGTCATTTATTTTTCTTCTCCTTGCTTTTTTTTTGTTTTTGATTTTGTTCGTGTTGTACAGTGCTTGTGTGTGAGTGAGAGTGAGAGTGTGGCTAGTGTGCGAAAGGTTTAGGGTTTTGTACCTGTGCATTTTGTGGCGGGCAAGTGAATCGCATAACAGATTATGCGGTTGCATATGTGTTATGCGATGGATTAATGACAGTGTAGCTCAACCTTACTTTGCGACGCGTTCTACGGTCGCATAGTTGATATGCGGGCCGCAGAAGTTGAAATATTTCCGCATCTCTTCGGACCCAACTTGCCATTTTTCTGACTGTATATGCGGCCACTCTGCGGTTTGCAAAGTCATTATGCGACCGCATAGTTGCCGCAAACCACAGAACCTTCTTTTCTTCATTTACATCAGTCCTTGCACCGTGTTTCATGGTACATTGGGCTACCTGCATTCTAACACACATGTTAACCTGCTCAACAATAACAACTAAACCTACCGAAATAAAAATTCTAACAAAAGATTGTTACCACACATGGGTTTCCTCCCAAGAAGCGCTTGATTTAACGTTGCGGCACGACGATATTGACCCGTTTGGGCTACTCAGTGGTGGGGACTGGTGGAGGACTATCCTTGAGAGCAAATTGTTCTAACAAATGCCTTTCTCCTATGGTACCGAGGTAATGCCTAACTCGTTGGCCATTTACTTTGAAAGTTCGAGTTCCATCCTCCGACTCCAATTCAATAGCACCATAGGGGGACACACTCACAACTTTGAATGGGCCAGTCCAAATCTCGGAAATAAACTTGAGTCTTGAGTTGAAGAGTAAGACCAAGTCGCCTGATATGAATTCCCGCTTCAAGATCTTCTTTTCAAGAACAAATTTCATTCTCTCCTTATACATGGCTGCACTCTCATAGGCATGGAGACGAAATTCTTCCATCTCATTGAGTTGTGTCATTCTTAGGTTAGCAGCTTCGACCCAATCAAGATTCAACTTTTTCAATGCCCACATGGCTTTGTGTTAAAGCTCCACTGGTAAGTGACACGCCTTACCAAAAACCAACTGGTATGGTAAGGAGCCAATAGGAGTCTTAAATGTTGTGCGATATGCCCACAACGCATCATCTAGCTTCCTTGACAGTCAGTCCTGTTTGCATTAACCATCTTTGCTAGGATGTTTTTGATCTCCCTATTGGAAAATTCAACTTGGCCACTCGATGAGGATGATAAGGTGTGGCCACCTTGTGCTTGACTCCATACTTTTCAAGCAGCCCGGTGAAGGCCTTGTCAAAAAAGTGAGAACCACCATCGCTAAGGATGGCTGTGGGGATACCAAACCGCATGAATATGTTTTCTTCAAGAAAGCGGTCACACTTTTTGCCTCATTGTTGGGAAAGGCAATTGCCTCGACCCACTTGGATACGTAGTCCATAGGCACCAAGATATATGCCATGCCATAAGAGCTCACAAAAGGACCCATGAAGTCTATCCCCCACACATCAAAGATCTCGACCTCCATTACAAAGTTCATAGGCATCTCATGTCATTTAGAAATTAACTCTTGTCTTTGACATTGATCGCATGCCTTGACCATTTGATTGGCGTCTTAGTAGATCGATGGCCAATAGTAGCCACATTCAAGCACTTTTGCCGCCTTCCGGTTTCCTCCATGATGAGCCCCAACCGGGGAGTCATGGCGTGCCTTGAGAAATGGCATAATCTCATCTTCCGGAACACACCGCCAAATGATGTTGTCGGCACAAATACGGAACAAAAAGGGTTCCTCCCAATAGTATTGCCTACATTCCCGCAAGAACTTTTTCTTTTGATAAGCTTCTAATCCATCAGGAACATGGTCACTAACCAAAAAGTTAGCGATGTCGGCATACCAAGGATCGAAGGTGCTAGACAATGCCAATATGTGCTCATCTGGAAAGGCATCATTGATGTCAAGGTCTTCTTTTGGTCTCCCTGCCTCTTCAAGCCTACATAGGTGATCTGTAACTTGATTTTTTGTCCCTTTCTGATCCTTGACTTCAATGTCAAACTATTGAAACAAAAGGACCCACCGAATCAATCTTGGTTTGGCATCCTTCTTTGCCATAAGATAGCGAAGAGCAGCATGATCGGTATAAACTATCACTTTGGACCCCAACAAATAGGCCCGAAATTTTTGAAAAGCATAGACAATGGCAATAAGTTCTTGCTCAGTCATAGTGTAATTCATTTGAGTGCTATTGAGTGTCTTGCTTGCATAGTAGACAGGGTGAAGGATTTTGTTATGCTGTTGACCAAGCACCGCCCTAATAGATACACCAGTAGTGTAAAACATGATTTCAAATGGAAGGGACCAATCGGGTGTGACAATAATAGGTGTCGTGGTGAGCTTTTCTTTCAATTCCTCAAAAGTTTTGAGATACTTATTATCAAATATAAACATTTCATCTTTTTCAAGGAGCTTGCACATGGGATTTGCAATTTTTGAGAAGTCCTTGATGAAACGCCTATAGAAGCCAGTGTGCCCCAAAATACTTCGGACACCTTTTACTGAAGCGGGTGGAGGAAGTTTGGAAATGATTTCGATCTTTGCCCGGTCAACCTCTATGCCTTGTCTGGAAATTTTGTGGACCAAAATAATGCCCTCGTCCACCATGAAGTGGCACTTCTCCCAGTTTAGCACAAGGTTTGGTTCTTCACATCTTGTGAGCACTTGTCTAAGGTTGTCAAGACAATGCTCAAAGGAATAACCCACTACAAAAAAGTCATCAATAAACACCTCTAGGAAATCTTCCACCATGTCCGAGAAGATTGATATCATGCACCGTTGAAAAGTGGTCAGGGCGTTGCATAGCCCAAATGGCATACGGCTAAAGGCAAAAGTCCCATATGGACATGTGAATGTTGTCTTCTCTTGTTGTCTTCTCTTAATCTTCCAAGGCGATATTGATTTGGTTATAGCCGGAATATCCATCCAAGAAGCAATAGAATTACCTTCCCGCTAGCCAATCAAGCATTTGATCAATAGAAGGCATAGGGAAATGGTCCTTGCAAGTAGCACTGTTTAGCTTCCGGTAATCCATGCAAACTCTCCACCCGGTCACTGTCCTCATTAGAATGAGCTCATTTTTGTCGTTTTGAATTACAGTCATGCCTCCTTTCTTTGGCACACATTGCACCGGACACACCCAAGAACTATTGGCAATGGGTAGACCACCCCGGCATCTAACCATTTGATGATTTATTTCTTTACCACCTCTTGCATGGAAGGGTTTAACCTTCTTTGATGCTCCACACTTGGTTTTCTCTCTTTCTCCAATTGTATCTTGTGCTCACAAATTCCGGCGAGAATCCCTCGGATGTCCTCTATTGTCCACCAAATGGCTTGGATGTGCTCCCTTAGGACATTCAACAAGTGTTTTACCTGCACATCATTCAACAAAGAAGAAATGATTACCAGTAGAGTTTCATTAGATCCAAGAAATTTATACCTCAAGTGCGGTGGAAGTGCCTTGAGCTCAAGTTGTGGCGGCTCAATAATTGAAGACTTGGAGGGAGGAGTGACTCTATTATCTAAGTCAAGAGAATGTTTCTTAGGTGCATAAGTGTAGGACCCAAGTCCTTTTAATGCAATCACCGATTCCATGTACCCCTCCATGTATTCACCATCAAAATTTACTAAAATAGCCGCCAACGCCTCACAAACGCATTGTTCTTCCATCTTCATCTAGATTGCATCTTCTACCTCATGAAGAACATCAATGACTGAGATGCTTTCATATGCATGTGGCAACTTCATACCTTTACTCGCTTGAAAGATAACCTCTTCGTCATTAACTCGGAACTTGATCTCATTTCGTTCCGAATCCATAAGTGCTCTTCCGGTAGCAAGGAATGGTCTCCCCAAAATGATATGGATTTCTTTATCAATAGCACAATCAAGGATCACAAAGTCGGCGGGAAGGAGGTATTACCCCACTTTCACAACAACATCATCGACAATACCCACCGGTCTCTTTATTGAACGATCGACCATTTGCAACCTCATACTTGTAGGCCTCAGCATATCTAACCCCGCTTGTTTGTAAATAGCAAGAGGCATCAAGTTGATGCTAGACCCATTATCACAAAGAGATCTTGCAAAATCGCGCAACCCAATAGTGCATGGTATGGTAAAAGCTCCCGGGTCTTCTTTTTTTTGAACGGTGGCAGTTGAAATGATGGAACTAACCCGGTGAGTCACATTCACCACTTCATTCTTGGGGGTACTTCTTGGTGATCATGTCTTTCAATTGCTTGAAAATGTCATAGAACTTTTCGAGTTTGCTATCATGAACCTTTCTATCAAGTCTTTGAGGAAAAGAAGGATGAGGTCTAGGAATGATGCTAGAGTTTTTGGTGTCTCTTTCACCTTTTCCCTAACCTCTTCACCGGTTCACATCTTGAACTTTCACCTCTTCTGTGACTTTTTCAGCTTCATCAACAATTGGTACCTTAGCTTCTGCCTCAACTTCTTATTCAGAATCTTCCACTTCGACCACTAGCTCATTCTCTCCTTGAAGTATTTTCCCACTCCGAGTTGTGATTGCCATACAATGAGAAGTTGGACCGCTCCCACTACCTTTTGGGTTTGTAATTGTGTCACTTGGGAGTGTGCCCTTTTGCTTCGGATTTTGCTCTCTTGATAGATCTCTCATTTGCATCTCCAGCTTTTGAATAGATACGGTATGAGAACCCACAAGCTCGATCATATTCTTCATTGAAGTGTCGGATCTTTCTTGATTTTGCAATACTCGTTCAAGCATGTTTTCCAACTTGGAATCACTTGAAGAACTTTCCTTCCAATGCGGAGAGTTGGAATATTGCCCCTTTGGTGAAACATAGGTTTTTGAACCTCGATTTGAAAAGTTGTTGTTGTTGTTACTCAAATTCCCTTGAGTTGAACTACCTTTGTCATTTCGCCATTGTTGGTTGCCTTACCCTAAGTTAGGCCCCATTGGTTTTGTTGTCTTGAACCTTGGTAGGGTTGTCTTTGATAACCTCCTTGAGAGTTGTTTACATAATTAGCGTCCTCGAAATCCTCATTTGATATGGGTTGAACATCTTCCACCATGTTCACTTTTTTTGCTTGGCTTTCAGTGAACATCTTCGTCAACACATTAACGTTGGTGGCAAGCCCGGCAATTACTTGATCTTTTTCTTGGTTCGCCTTAATCATGATAGTCAAGGACGGATTACCATATGGAATTCCACCATTGGTGTCCTCTGAGTGCCAAGCTTGGTTATGTTTTGCCATTTTTGTCAAGGATTTGTGTGATCCTTGCAAATATTTTATCCATAAAAGATCCATCAGCTGTATTTTTGGCTATAGATTGATTCATAGGATGCAAGCCCATGTAAAATTTCTCCAATAAGATAGCATACGGAAAACCATGATTCGGCGACCTCACTAAATATAGCTTGAATCGATCCCATGCCTCATGTAGGTGTTCTCCCGGTAATTTCTTGAATAAGAAAATTTTATCCCGGAGCTCAGACTTCTTGCTTTGCGGGAACCATTTAGCTAGGAAAGCTCGGACGAGTTCAGACCAAGAATGAATGGAATTAGGTGGTAGATTTTGGATCCATTTCCATGCCTCTCCGGCTAGTGAGTACTTGAACACCCTCAGTCTTAGAGCACCATCTGAGACGTTATTCTGCTTATGCATCGCACACACACCCAAGAAGTTTCTGAGATGTTGTGTCAGATCATCATCGGTGGAATTTCTGAAGAACCCCTCTGCTTTGAGCATTAGGATTAGACCGTGTTCCACTTTGAAGGTAGCAGCATCAACTCTTGGAGGGATAATGGCATTTGTATCCTTAACATACTCATCTATATCCGCAAAAGGATTCTCTTCTTCATCATACTCGGACATGTTTTCCTAGTAACACCAAGCAAAGCAAGCAAAGTGTGATGGAATAGAAGAAGACGTAAGTAAGCACACACTAATTAGTGATTTCAAAACCGTATTCCCCGGCAACGGCGCCAAAATTTGATACGCTCAAATTACACTTAAATAAATAGTGTAAGACGGTCGGTGTCAAATATAATAACCCAACAGGGTTGGGGTCGAATCCCACAGTGAATAGGTTTGAAAAGGTTACTTGGATAGTGTGAAACTTGACTTAAGTCGTAATTCTACTCCTTTAGCTTAAAACGAGAATGATATAATTGTGATTTAACAAGATAACTATTTTGTTGAGAGATTGTAATTAATTTGGTTAAGGAAACCAAAGTTTTGTCCCCATCGGTAAAATGTAATGCTATTGGTGTTAATATGATATATTTCTAATGGAATATCCTCTGATATGCAAATGGTTTCTAAATGACTACCCAATATTTTCCAATGGTTGGATAGTATTTTCTCTTTATGATTTTTCCAAATATAAAAGAGTTCCAATTAAGAATAACCAATTTATGCCAAGTAGAACCCACTTATTCCTACGCGATTCTATTAAACAAGGTTTAAAGCCTTGAGTTCTTGATATTCACTTCTACCAAACCCTAACCCACTTTTCCAAGTAAAGATAGAGTAAAATGGAATAAGTCAATGTTTGCAACCAAAACAATAAATAAAGCAAAAGAAATAAATAAATATCAACCAACCATTATATATATATATATATATATATATATATATATATATATATTCAATGTTAAACACCCATTTAGGGTCCATAACCGTAGTATTTAAAACTAGCTACTCATACTAGAATACAAAGACAAATCAATAAATAAAGTCATAAAGCTTACAAAGGTACCGGATTCTCTCTTCAAAAGCATCCAAAATAATGGTGTATTCAATACCTTCAATGTAGTATCTTTTTTCAGACTCAATGACCCACAAAACTCCTAGTAAATCTATTTATAGTGGACTAAAAGTCGGGATCAAGATTGGACAAAATTTCCCCTGTAGAGCCCTTCTACGACCGCATACTGGTCGCAGACCATGTATGCGGTCCGCATAATTGAAACAGGCGTAGCATAATTGCAGGTCTTGAAGCTCAGTTCTCCATCACATTTCGGTTCTGCAGTCAGTATAGCAATTATGCAACCGCTGACTTCATCGTAAAATTGTTAAACCAAATTTCAGGTTGCAATTGTGCGGTTATTATGCGGTCCTCAAAGGTGTTATGCGACCACATAATGGACCGCATAATCTTCTCTTCACTGCCCAAAAGAAATGCTTCAGTCTGCGGTGAGTTTGCGGTCTGCACATCACTTCTGCGGTCGCGGACCCGCCGCATTTCTGCCCTTTTATGGATTTTTGACTTCTTTTCCATGTTTTTGGTTCTTCAAGTATCGTGCACTACAAAACACCAAAACATCATAAGAATTAACTAAAAATGCTTTGAAAGACGAACTAAAGTCTATGTAATTTGTATCAAAAGTGCTGAAATTCTAGGGCACATCAAATCCGGGACAAGGTATTTTATTAAAAAGCAAATGCGATCTACGTCCCTAAGGATGGTGCTATTCCGACTGGGTTGGTTGTCCCTTGACTCGACGCTTGCTCACCTGCTAGTTTATCTTGTTGGGTGACTCACTAAAAAGCAACATACCGTATCTAGATCGTCTGCAGAGGTTGAGTATCGCTCTATGGCAATGCCAATCTATGAGGTGAAATAATTGAAGGAAATTTTACCTAGTTTGGGAGTGACTTGCATTTCTCCTATTCATCTTTTTTGTGACAGTCAAGCAGCATTTCACATTGCAAAGAATTATGTCTTTCATGAAAGAACCAAATACATTGAAGTGGATTGTCATTTTATTCGCAACGAGATTGGCAGTCGGAATATTCGTACTAGCTTTGTGCCTTCCCATGAGCAATTGGCAGATACATTTACGAAGGTAGTAGGAAAATCTTAATATGTTTCTCTCTTATGCAAGTTGGGCATTCATAACCCGCATAGACCAACTCGAGGGGGTATTAAAGAAGCGTGTGTATGTTTCCATATTTAGGACTAGGAGAATTTTTCTTTTCCATATTTGTTAGGACTAGTTTTTCATATTTGTTAGGACTAAGGTAATTTATTACTTCATATGTATATATATTCTTGTTAATAACTAGAAGAAGGCAAATCTTTCTCTTCCGCACCTGGCCACCAAGTGCTTGCGTGTTTTGGCACTTATGGAAACAATGGATAAGAAGCATCTTAATCACTTTAATTGTTTTTGATTTAAAGTATTATTTACAAGTTGAGCCCCAATACCCCAACTTTATCTAATTACACTCAAATGGCGCCATAGTGTCAGTGATTTGTCCAAGCATCTTTTTTTTTTTTCCTACTCATACAACTTGAAAATATAATGTGATTCAATCACCCTACATGCAAAGAAACACTCTAGAATAGAGCAACGACATGACATTTAAAATATGAAATACTTAAAAAGGTTAAGAAGATGGACCTTCACCGAGGCGAAAATCCTTCCTTTATTATCAAGCACCTCCAATGAGATTACAACACTAACCGGCAACGATGAACTCAAACAGAGGAAAGAAATAAACTTAAGCCAAAGCTGGACCGGAAAAATTTGACGGACTTCTCCAATTGAACCTCGCCGGGAATCTCATAGTGCTGCGAACCTCGATGGAAACTGAAACAGTTGCTTCGTCGGGTGTTTCTAATGGTGTTTGGATTATTCATTAGCTGGGTTGGGGCTGATTTTTTGATGTGGGGTTGTTGTAACTTGTAAGGTGGAAAATAGGTTTTGGAGGCGGTTTGAGATCTTTTTGGACTGATTTACAGCTGGGTTTTGAGCTGCATTTTCATGGAGTTTTCAGCTGAAAGTGAGGTGCTTTAAGGAGTTATTTCACCTAGGTTTTAGCATATGGTATTCATTCATGGTGATAGAGCTTAGTGGAGTTTTATGGATGAGTTTGATTGATTCTTGAGGAAGAAGAAGATGAGCAGCGGCTCTTTTTTGCCTTAGCTCTAAGGTGATTTGTTCTCTGTTTCTGCCTTGTTATCTTTTTTTCCTCTTCCCCTTTGTGTGAGTGAGGTGGATCTATTTGTATAGAAGATGTGTAGGGAATATTCTGTTTCTTGGTGGCGAAGAAATTTTGAGTTCGTTTATTCGTCAGTGTTAAAATGCATGATAACGGAAGTGACTGTGATGTTAGGCTGGAGATGAAGGAAGCTGTGAAAATTTTTGTTGGGGTCAAGGACTTGGAAATACATTTCTTTTTGATAAGTATAGATGAGGAAATTTGTCAAGGTAGTGGGCTGGTGCTATGAAAAAGACAAAAAACATTATTATATCTCCATAATTTATGGAGAGAACGTGCACTTTGAACAATAAAACTGAAATGTGCAAAATTTGGTATGGACTTTTGTCTCTTTGTGGTGATGTGCCATGATTTTATTTGCTCTTGCCTTATTTCTTTTCTATTTTCTTTTAAAAGGATAAATAAATAGACAAAATAAGATATTATTCCTACTAAATAAAAATACCAAGATAAAAAAACTAACTACTCAGTTTCTTATTTATTAAAACCTCTAACTTAGATATTAAACTAAACTAGACAAAAAATATATACTTTTGGAACTTCTCTTTTCTTTGCAAGAATGAAAGCTATTATTCTAAAATATAACTCTCTTTTTGTGATTATCAATTTTACCAAATAAAACCTACTAAACATAAAATAAAGATATAACCTAAAAGAGATATTGAAATGCTAAAATTTGTGAAAAACTCAAGTATGGTAAAAAGTTAGGTCCTCACAAGGTGTGAAGAGACCAACTTGGTATTAAACTAGAAGAAATGTCATTTTATGGTACGAGAAGGTTAGTTCTGGGGCACAAGGTGTCCAAATACGATTTGGAGGCAGACAAAGCGAAGGTGGAAGCGATTGAAATATTGTCCCCTGACATTTGTGAAGGGCATCCGTAGTTTGTTTGACCATGCAAGTTTTATCGCCGTTTCATTAAGAATTTTTCAATTTCCTCTCCTTTATGCAGGCTGTTTGAAAAAGATACTTCATTTAAATGCGATGATGCTTGTTTGAAAGTATTTAAGGAGTTGAAGCTAAGGGTGGTGATTTCATAAATTATATTTGCCCCATATTGAATCGAATCATTTGAGTTGATGTGTGATGCGGTCTATGTAGCAATTGGAGCTGTCTTAGGTTAGGAAAAGAATAAAATTTATCACTCTATTTACCACACGAGTAAAACTCTAACTTCAACCCAGAATAATTACACAGTCACTAAAAGGAGTTGCTTGCGTTAGTATGGGCGTTTGACAAATTCATATCTTATCTAGCGGGCACCAAAGTCATCATCTACACAAACAACTTCATTTGGAAAGAAAAATACTAAGCATAGGCTTTATACGTTGGGTTCTTCTCTTGCAAGAATTTGATTTAGAAATCCGAGAACGAAATAGAACAAAGAACCAAGTGGTCGATTACTTTTCCGGGTTAGAAAATAGGGATCATGTAACTGAGGGAAATTTGATAAAAGAGACCTTTCCAGACGAGTAGTTATTGTCCATTGAATATGGTACAACCTCATGGTATGCAGATTATGTGAATTTTATATGCCAGTGAGGTGATGCCTGTAAACACCTAATTTTTGCACTATTTTAACACCTCCTAAAAGTTATTAGTGTTTTGTTATTTCAATTATTTTTCTCAATTTTTGTGTCTTTAAATGCATATTTTCTATCATAAAATACTATAAAAATAGTTCTTTCTTCATTTATGCATTTTAAGAATAAACTAGTTGTTCAGTTGGTAAATTAATCTAGTTAATTGATCATTAGAATAAGTTATTTAATTTATTTATTTGTGTAAAATTAGTTTAATAAGTAGGATTAAAGAAAAATGGGCTAAAATTAAAATGATCAGGTGGCTAAGAGTGTAATATCATG